GAGATTTCTCCAGACATCTTTCATCTTTTCCGATCTAAGATGGCGGTGAGTTGCTTAGAAGCTCTGAGCACTAGAGAGAAACTTTGGCCTTCCTATTAGCACAATCTGGACTCTTTTCAGGAGAAACTCCCATACTGTTTTACATAGATCTTTTTTCTCTTGGGATGTTCAGATTGCCCAGAAAAGAGTCCTTCACTCTGCAGGAGAGTAAGAGTTCACAGGCCAGCCAGCCTTCTAGAAGGGTATGTAGGAGGAAGATGGGAAGTAGGAACATTTAAAATTCTAAGTGTTTCTCCATTTTCTGTTGGTATATACTCACATGGGCCTTTCTCGTCTAGCCCCAGAAATTTAACCAAAATGTATTGGTCCATGGAATGCTAAGTATCTTGGTAACGTTTTTAGGCACTCCAAACCAAGTGATATACCTAACGCTTCATTTGTTAAGAAGTTATCTCCAAAAAATTTAAGTATTTAGGTCTTAAGAAAAAAAAAAAACGTACACATAAATTTAAAGAAATGGTTATTATCTTATTCCTAAATAAGCACAAGTACTTTCTAATGGATGCGTGCACTATTGGATTCTGCACAACCCTTCTCAGAATCATAATGAACACAGCAGCTTCATTTCATGTTCCATGTTGGTTTTCATGTGGTACTTACTTGTTACCACATACACATAAACTGTTACCTCAGCTTCATAAAGATATAATGTCATGGAAAAGGATGGAGAATGAAGTTCAGGAACATATTTAAGCATTTCATCTAACGTGAAACACTGAACTATTTGAAACTAGTAGTTATATTTATCAGAAGTTGAGTATCACAACATTAAGGCACCTCCACCAGTTAAGTGTAGCACCCTGGGGTACCTTGACACAGTTTGGGAAACAGAGTTTTTATACAGCTCACTGTTGTTTTACCCACCATCAGAACCTGAATTTGAATTACGTTCTTCACTATGTATAATCTCAACCGGAATCTCAACAAACATCCTCACCACTGCACTCCTGCAACTCGGCACCCTAACACATTTAACAAAGTGTAATCTACTTCACATTCTGAATCACAGAATCAAATGTGGGCTTGACGGCACGCGAGCCAGGATGATGGGTGGCACTGGTAGCAGAGACTTATATTGAAAGTAGGAGACACCTTCCTTTTGTATGTATAATTCCCCAGCCAGTAAGACTCTTTTTTTGTGTTTTCAATTTGCTTGGTATTACACAATGCTATAAAAGTAACTCAATCCAGTTTGTGGTTGTTTTCAGACAGCTGAGTAAGGGCCTGAGTATTAACAGCTGTCAAATGAGTCTCCTCTGCTCTCCGCCCACCCCACCCCCATTCCCACCAGACTAGTCTTTGAAGGATCCAATCAGTGAAAAGTCAGAATGTCAGAGAAGAAGCCCAGAGCAGGTAATATGACAAACGGATGTTAGTCTTAAGGAAGCTGACTTAGCTATTAATGCACAAAACAGTCTGAAAAGATTTCGTGATGCAAGCTGACTTCTGTCTAGACAGAGAAGGGGGTGTAAAACATATGAGACAGATACAACACAGTAGTGACAAGAAAAACCTGTTTTAGTTGCACAAATGCACAGGGAGGGAATTTGCTAGGTCCTTCTTTATCTAAATATCTAATCCCTAGTGGCGCTATGTCTAGGTACTAGTGAACTTCAGTTTTACTTCTAGAGCTTTAAAACATCTTACACTTAAATAAAAAATGGAGGATAGTGAAGAAAAGAAAAAAGAGATAAAAAGAATGAGGGTAATACAGAAAGAGAGGGAGGGAAGAATGAAGAAAGTGAGGAGATAGAAGGAAGAGAGGGTGAGAAGGAGAGTGAGAGGGAAGGAGGAAAGAAAGGAAGGAGAAAGAAATAAGGGAAGGAAGGAGGGAGGGAGAGAGGGAGAGAGAAAAGGAGAGGGAGAGGAAGAGGGAGAGAGGGAGAGAGAGGGAGGGAGGGAGGGAGAGATGGAGGGAGAGAGAGAGAAAGATTGAATGCAAGCCAGCAAGGAGAGAGCAAGAGTGAATATGTGAGAGGAAGAGAAAAGAGGGTAATAAAATCCGAATGCTTAAATATGTTCCTGAATTTCAAAGGCTATTCATGTTTTAGCATTTGGAAAACATCACTGACCTAGTCCTATAAAATTTATCTCTTGTCTCAGATGGAGTGTAGTCACGTCTGTTTTTCTCCTTTCCACGTAACAGTGGCTAAAAACCCAGCTCTCAGGGAAGCCAGTTCCTACATATATTTTACATAGTTGAATAGTTCAGTGGTCTACTGGACATCACAGACCATCAGGTGATTTATGGAAAGTAAATGGTTCAATCTGTATTTTGTTTTTCCCTGACAAAGCCGAAGGTCAACGTCAAGGTCAAGGTAAGGAAAACATTTGGCTACTAGTCTAAGAATCATGATCTTACCTAGTTGTGTCAGGCATGCCAAAACACTGTTTAAAGACAAGTATGTTTCAACATTCGCTTATTCTGAGGTTCTTACTCATGACAACTCACATAAATAGTGGCTGGGACAGTGCATCATGTGTTTAAAGTAATTTTGCTGTTGTTTAAAAAATATGGTCATGGATTGAGTGCTACATGCCAGTTTCAGGTTTCCTGAAGCAGAGCATTTTAATGCTCCACTATAAAAAGGAAAGGAGCAATTCTAATAGTGTGTGGTAAATACAACAGTGGCGGAATTATCTAAGGTCAGGGAAAAATAGTTCTTACAATATATATTTTTTACTATATGGACAGATTTGCTTAAAATATTTTCCTACCAAGAAACATTTGTTTTAAGCAAATGCTGTTATTGTGGTTGAAAGGGAGGAGTCTGTTTTCTTAAATGCTTTCCGATCTAACAAAAGAGGAAAGAAAAATAAGAAAATTCCATTAACAAGGGGAGGAGAAACTGTTTTATACATCACTAGGACATGCAGTTTAAAAGGAAGGTCTTCCATAGTCCTTTTCAAGCTTTTGTCACATTTCACCAAAAGGCATTTCAGAAAGTTCTAGAGGTCATATTATTCCAGGAAGCGACTGACGACCGATTTCATTACATAATTCATGATCAAAACTGTATTTTAGAAGCAAAACGGCAATCCTACAACTGAAACAGGAGTATATGTGGCATGAGGAAAGGGAGAACAGGGTGGAGCAGTGGTCGGCAAACTGCGGTTCGCGAGCCACATGCGGCTCACAAGTTGTGGTTTGCGCTCTGTTGACTAATGAGTTTGCTGACCACTGGGATAGGGGCTTAATCACAAGGAACAACAACAGCCTGTAATTATTGGAATCGAGAGTTGAGGAAGGAGGTGGTAGGGGATTCTTTTATCTCTCTCCTCACCCAAAAGTATTCCTTCTTAGCCAGTATATTGAGTGGTTTCAACTTTTAAACATGTACATACTCAAAAACTAAACTATGCAGTTTCTAACAAGTATTTTGAGTTTTGGGATGATGGTTAGTTTATGATTTCCAAACACATATCATGGGAGACATTTCATAAATCGCCATCACCTCTGTAGGTGAGGACAATGGGTAACAACATGGTGTAAAGAGTTGCATGAATTCACTCAGAACCCAAAACTGCAACTTCAAAACCAGTCCTAATTTGTTCCAGTAATGTTTTCAGAAATTTTGTCCCAAGATTCTAGTTGTATTTGTACATAAAGCATCAGAGGACATGAATTGTTCCATATGACTCCATAGATTTGCTCATATAAACTTTCTTGCAGATAAAAGAGGCATTTGGTGCCTACTTGCTCTCTCTCATTCTTTCTCTCTCTCCCTCAGTAGTAAATGCAATAGGATTTCCATATTAGCTCATGCAGTAGGTTGAGTCTCAGACGTGTCATGGATAAGGGAACCGACATTATGCCATTCTACACAAAGACGTATCCACAGACAAAACACAAAGCTGTGTATTTCCATGGTTTGGAAGGGGACTACAGTATTTGATGTGCTGACGACACATTTAAGCTCTAATTGAAATGCATGACAAGAAAGCAGCAGATCAACTCCAGCTGTTGCCCAAGGGTGCTACTCAGCATCCCTTAAACTATGGACCCTCATAGGATCACACTCTGCTTTCAATGACCCAACACTCAGAGGTCCAGGGCTGAGCACAGTAACCTGAAATGCAGCAGCCCACAGCAAACCTCCGAGCTCTCAAAGAAGGGACAGCCTCGGGTCAGGGATCTCGAAAGGATCTGCCTGATGCTGAAGCAGAGGCACCCGGGTGATTGTCTGTCCTATGGCAAGGGGTAAAAGCAGTGACTTTTACCAAATATCAAAGAAAGGGGTCCCAAGGAGGCTGCCCTAGGAAACACGTTGGCAAACGTTTCTATTCCCTTTACACAGATCACGTTAGCCCATGAGGAGTCAACAATTATATAAAAAAGTATGAGGCCAGAGAAAAGTTGGACCTGATGCTTCTGGGTAACATAGCACTCAGATGAGGTCAAATGACCCAGTAATTAAGTGAGATGCTAGGGCAAGATGACTTTCTTCATGCTTGTAGGATAGTAAACTTTTATGGCTTCGGGCACATAAATGAGCAATGCCTGGCGGTCCGTGCTGCTTCTATCTTAGGGCTGCTCTCGTGCAAGACTCACTTCTATGCCGGGGAGTCTGGCTGCTGGCGAGTCTGGTCAGCAGAGGTATGCAGCCGGCTGGTCTTGTCTACGGGAGTCTTAGGAGGATGTTTTTCCAACATTAGCTTATGGGCTTTCAGAGTCTAAAAGACTATTTTTAAAAAGCCTTAAGTCACTGAGCTTGACCTTCTTGTCTGAATGGAACCTAATGTTTTACTAATAAAGAAGTTGATGTAAAACGCAGTGTACAGACCCCACGATAAAGAAGATATTGTCTTTAAGGGGGTTTCACATTTCCAGGGAACTGCAAAAACATTGTTCTGCTTATGGCTTTGAAACAGACACAAAGAACTATTGAAACCCCAAAGATACATTACCAAAGGGGAAAAAATAGAAAAAACCTTCTTACCAGGTTCAGCGGTAGATCGAGGTTCTGTTTGCCACACGAGAAAAAAAATAAATAAGAATGTTTTATTAGAATAGGGTTCCATTTAATAATAAACCTACCTCTCTTTTCCTATTACCTCGTCTAGGGCATGTCTGCTGAAACGTTATAGACAAACTCCATATCAGCAGGGCAATAAAGTGATAGATCAATTTATATTTCTACAAATACAAAAACTCAAATTCCAGTAACAGCTTACACTCAGGAGTTATTTAAACTGAAGTTCATAGAAGGTCTTACAGAAGCTTGTAAGCCTTTTAAAATTATTTGCCCAACTTTAAGCTCAAACTTATGTCTTTTTTTTTTTTTTTAAAGAAAGAACATACAACTTTCATCAGAGTATTAAAAGGGTCCGCCAGTGAGCACTTTAGCTTTAATGTACTGAACGCCTTACATTTGCAGAGTATCTGGTCTCACTCTCTTGGAAAACAGAAGTCAGTTCATCTAAATGACTAAACCCTTTCCCTAGCCAGTTTGGCTCACTGAGTAGAGCGCTGGCCTACAGACTGAAGGGTCTCAGGTCCTGTTCTGGTCAAGGGCACGTTCCTCAGTTGCAGGCTCATGACCCCGATCGGGGGCCAGCAGAAGGCAACTAATTTAATTGATGTGTCTCTCTCACATAAATGTTTCTGTCTCTTCCCCTCCTTCCCGCTCTCTCTAAAAATCAGTGGAAAAAATATCCTTGATTGAGGATTATAAATAAATAAATAAATAAATAAATAAATAAATAAATAAATAAATAAATAAATAAAACCGCTAAGCCCTTGCTATTTCTAAAGCTAGCGGGAAGACGGCAGTTGGATTTGGGAGATGGGGCACCTCTCCTTACTTTTCTGTAGAATTCGGAAGTCTGGAGAGTCCTGGATCTCACTCCCTTGTCGGAACCACTTGACCTGCAGAGGGGGCGCTCCTCGCACCCGGCACTCCAGCACCACCACCTGGCCCTCGGAGGCCGCTATGTTTTGCAGTTCCTGAAATTAGAGAAAAACGCATCAGCTTTGGTGCGGTTTTACACAATCTCACAACAGAGAATACAACTTCCAAATCGCATAGAGGGAAAACAAAACAAAACAACTTTCATCATAAAAAATTTTCATTGACTCAGATGAGGATAAAGAGCTTTAAATCCATTCATTATTATCAGCTTTTCCTAATCTCCATACAATGAAATTAGCATGGACTGGTCTGCAAGAGTATGGACTCTTTTGGACTTAGGGAATTTTACGGTGACAATTGTTACCTTTTTCTATTGTAAGAGGAAGCTGGTAGGAATGTAAACTTCTTAAAGCAACACACACCCTATGAATGTAGATTCCTATGAAAACCAGACAGGATGAGAAAAAAGAGACACACATTCGTTTTCCCATGCGCCAACCTTTTCATGTACTCCCCCGCCATCTCTGCCCAACTGGTTCCCTATGTCAGGCTGATTAAGATGAGCGGCTTTGGTATTTTCTCATTTTGACGTGCTGAGTAAAATGTTTAAAAATGCAGCCTTTTTATCTTCTTGACCTTCAATTCCACCCCCTTACTATTATCCTTGCGGGCCCCCATCCACTCCAACTCCAGACCAATAAATTTTTACAACCCAACGGATTAGAGATTAATTTGGCTTCATCAAGACAAAGAGGGAAAGCTTTCATATACTTGTTTTTAAATATCAAAAGATTACTATTTCGCTTACGTATGTCCTCTCTTGACCTTCCTCCTCCTGGATCACTTACATTTTGACTATTTAAACTTCTGACTAAAGAGCATTGGCTCTGATACAGAGTCTGTAGAAGACTTAAAATAATTTAAATGCAATAAAGTAGTTCACCTGTACATATAGACCAAAAGCAAACACATTCACATGAGCGTGTGTGTCTTTTTTATTAGTTTGTTTTGTTAGTTTAGTTTTTGAATTATTTGAAAACACAACAAATCCAGTGCTGGGAAAACCCTATCCTGCAGCAAATGGCTTTCGGGGCTAAAGTGCTATGGACATCCTCAAAGTCATGCTGTTGGCAAAAGAACTCAAAGTCTACAGTGAAGTCTGAGAAGGCATTTGATAAGCATGTTGGTGGTTAAGAATGTCTTCAAGTGAAAATGTTAAGATTATTAGCTATTTCTGATTACGTTCTTTTTCCCACCTGATTTTTACTTGTAGAAAATTTTTGGTTTTAGATTGACTCTTACTTTCTTGTTGGGTCCAGAAACAGCTGAGTGCACCATTGAGGGAAAGTGTGGCTCTCAGGGCTCAGCTGGTGTGGATTAATCACCCCCACCCCCCCTCCTCCAGGCTTGTCCAGGAAGCCATTCACAGGAGATTACAAGCGGTACCCAAATATTTTTCATGTGTGAGCTTTCGGACACCAAAGGAGACTCTGATTTATCCCTAGGACTGTGTGTTTTATTTGAACGTTAGAAAGTCAGAGATGTAGGAAACGGGATGGGTGGATGCCAAGGACCTTAAGCAGTCAAAATGCCATCGTTATTCCAAGATTACAATTTGGCTCCTCCTGGAGCAAACGTTTTTATCTTGGCAAAAGCCCCAGCTAAACACAGTTAGCCATTAGGAGAACTCGCAGGAGCATGAAGCAGAGCCCTGAGGGAGATGAGAGCCAACCTTTAAGGTTGCACTTGGCAATCTGGATCATCCATTCACGGTAGAATTTGGGACCCTTGGTGTTTTAGGTTCCATATAGGGCATCTCTGGACATACATCAAGTCCACGTGACACTGTGATTCCTCTGAGGGATCTATGTGGGAAGAAATGCCATGCGGAGCTAGTTGCTCTCCTGGCCTCATGTGTGTCCCTGCTACTCAGCCCCACAGCCACACCAGTTCTGCGGCTCCAGAGAAGCATGGTGGCCCAAAGGCAGACGTGCTGGCTGCGAACCCAGGGGCTGTTTTCCCAGAGCAGTAAGAGAACAGAGAAGGAGGCCTGCCGTTGGACTGGCAAAGCCCACCTGCTGTCCGCTGTCAACCATCAAGAGAAAGCTGAAGAAGATGCTGCTGTCAACAAAGCAAAGGCTGGCTTGAGTTATAGAGATGGGCAGATTTAGTTTCTAAACCCGCCTCTCCAATAATCACAGGTCAGGCCCACAAGGAACCCTGCAAAGCAGGGAAGAGACACTGCACAAAGGCAAAGGGCAAGAAAAGCAGATACAAACAAGGAATGAAACAACAGTGTGGAAAATAGATGGTCCCTAGTCCAGACACAGGAAGTGGGGTCCCTGGGGATGCCCAGTGAGGTGTGCTCTCAGCTTCCAGTTACTCTACAGTTTGAGATTAAAAAAAAAATAAAAAAAAAAATTAATAAACCTCAGTAAAAATGCAAAATTTTGTTTTTCTTTTCATGAAGCTGATGTAGAATGCTGCATGCTTCTCTTTTTGGAAAGAGGGAAACAACACTAATAGGATGTCTATGTCTCAGGGGCTGGATGGCACAGAACAGTGTTGTGTCTAGTGTGTGAGGATTTCCCCCAGGGCCCAGAAGGAATTCGGTAACATCTCCACATGCCAGGCCTCTGTGGTGAAGGAAAGCAGAATCTTCCAATCTCCTTTCTTCCCCTGAGGCCACCAGCATGGACTTTATTTGCTTAAACCAAGAGGTGTGTTGAGCCCTGATACTCCCAAATCAACCATGTCCCAGGCAAGAATCCATCAGGAAACAGGGATTTTCTGGGGATGGTCTCATAAAGCTCCTTGGGGAAAACTCTTAAACGGCATATAAATGTGGACGTCCACCCTCCACAAACCTTTCTTGTTCTGAGCATCAAAGGACGACTTCACTGGCTGTTTACAGTGACACGGGTTTACATGACCCCCGCCCCCTTCTTTTGGTAGTTTATCCAGGAGGGGACTTTCAAAGTTGTTGCCAGCTATTATCATTTGTTGTCTGTGTTCTACAGTAAATGGTCTGTTGGTCTGTTTATGAAAAGATCCTTAATAAAGCTGGACGTGGGCTGGCTTCAAAGGAAAAAATAAAAATCACTCCTTACAGGAGGAAAATGAAAATGCTCTGCTCTACTGCCTCACGGGAGTTTTCTAGATTTGCTTGTCATGTTTGTCTTTAGTTTACTTGGCACTGAGTTTTGTGAAAAGTGTGAGGCAGAAATCGAGTTTAGGATTTTTCTCCTCTGCTGAAGAATTCATTCTTCACTGGTGGTCTGCAGGTTTCTATAGGTATCGGAGTGGGCTACTATTCTGGCTACTTGTCAATTTGCTTAGCCTTGTGCCAGCTCCATACTATCCCAAGGGTCTACATTGAAGAAGTTGTGTTGTCCCCAAGGGCGAATCTCACCCCTTCCATAACACCATCTTGTTTTCCTTCTTCGGAAGTGTGTCTTGGCTAGTCTTATCCATTTCTCTTCCACCAAACTTTTAGAATCAAATTGCCAAGTTCAGTATTAAACAAATAAACACAAGAAACCCACTGGAATTTTAGTAGATTTGCATTACATTTATAGATTAATCTGGGAGTCATGACTTCTTTAGCCTACCAGTCCACAGGCCTGGCACTACCTGTCCATTTAAGGTGGGGAGAGGAAGAGGAAGAAGAAATGCTTGGTACCATTTCTGAGTTGAGCAGTTGTCCAATGAAATGGATGTCATTCACCGTGGCAATGCAAAACACCAACTTAGAACAAGCTGAAAGTCATTAAAAATTTTTCTATAAAGCTAGCTGGTTTTCCCAAGCAACATCCTAGATGGGATTTTGTCTAATTTTTTTCTGTCTTGGCTTTCCCACTCTACTTTAACCCCTATCAGACCCCAGACCATGCCCACATCAGTTGGACCCTTTATAAGATTATATTCACATAACCCTCACTCAGTAAATATCTACTGAGTCCCAGAGGTAACCATGATAATCAGTCTACTGATCTATTCCTTTACTTTTTAAAGATGCTGCACAAAGCCACATGTGAGTGAAATCTGAGCACCAAAGCAAATACAGAGAATGAGACTCGCAGATGTCAGACCTTTGTAAAAACAGGAGGAAAGTAGGCAGAAGTGGTTCCATCAGGTCTGCAGAGATACGAGGTTGGACTGTGAACCTGAAAAAGCAGAGACACATGGATCAAATTCTAAATATATAAATTGCTGAAAAGATGGGCTCACTATGAAGGTCGCTCCACATGAATGAAACGAGTGGATGCAAGTCTCTCCACATATCATTTTGCTGATCTACTCTTACAGCACAGACATTGTCTGCTTCCTCGTTGCACATCTGTTACTCTTCTCTGTTCAAAAGGACATTCAAGGCAAGAGTCCCGTGGTTCCGTAGGGATCCACACACTTTAAAATGCTATTACCAAATGGATTTCTGTGTGTGGGACTACCACAGGGGTCTTTTTACAAGCTCTTACAGACATTATATATATTTTAATATAGTCTGGATTCATTGAATCAAGAGCACATGTTACTGGAATTGGAAGATAAATAACCAAACATCTACCTGTCTTATTTTTAACTTGTATTCCTTTTTGGTATAGATAAGGATTATAGGAAATGAAGAGGAAAAATATATCCTTTTTTTCCTTGATGTTCAAAAAACAAAGATGCTGAAACAATTACTGAATGGTGCTCATCTCTGGGAAAATAAAAGGATTTCAGGGTAGTGAATAGAAAATATTTCTTTGTGCCCAAGTCATGTATTTTCAAGCACTCTAGATTCATTCACTTCTATATAAATGGTTCATAGTTTTTTAACCAAAGATTATGGTGATTTGGTATTATATGCCCAAGAATGCCACCGAACATCATGGAGATGCTGGCAGAGTGGTAGAGAGGCTAGGATAGTGGCAATGAGCCTTACTCATTATCCTTGTAAGGCTGTTATAGGCTTGTTATTTAGGAGATTGAAGTCTCACTTTTCACTGTCTTTTTATGTGCAAAGAATATATGAACACTCATAAAGTATTTAATCTGTGGCAGGCATTGTTCTAAGAGTTATATGGAAATTAACTCAATGAATCCTCATGACCATCCTTTGATATATTACCTTTAATTAATGGGTAATAAAAATATATAAAGAAAGATTATATTACTTGTGCAAGATATCTTAGCTAGTAAGTGTTAGAACTGGGATTCAAACCCAGGCAATATGAGTTCAGGGCATTTTTAAGCTTTACATCACTTTGCCTATAATAAAGCAATGGAGTTTCTTTGAGCATTTCATTCTCCCAACTATCGATAGACAAGTGGGATATATTACCTCCCATTCAGTGTTCCTGTAAAATTTAAACCATTTAAATGTGCGGCTTACATTATGATGATTCCTACTCACTTAGATGTATGTGTGTCTTTCTGCTTCTAGGCTTCCCTGTTACACCTTAATACAGTCTTTCATCTCTGAGAAGTGTTTCATGTGTATATTTCCCATTCCTGTTTCCATGCACAGTGTATAAACTGTGAATGGAGCTGGTGATACTTTTTTTTTTCCTGTTGTAAAATGCCTAGCACAGTGCAAAGAGTTCATTAAATACATAAACATAAAAAAAAACCACACAAAACACCTCACTGATTTAATCAGAAATATTTCTATAAATTCCATTCTAGTTTAGGGGCTTAAAGGAAATACCTACACTATATGCCACTTCCAAGTAACTTATATTGATGGGTTCTTTTCAACTCAAAGGTCTTTTCTCTAGTGCCTGCATACTCTACATATCACAGAGTGTAAGTCACACACCTGTAATTACTAAAATACCTCTGAGTGCACGGTCATCTTCACAAAACATACCTAAGAGACGTGTAAAGAATGAGTTTACAGTTCAGGGTATTGGGGGAAGCTTTTATGAGTGTTGTATTTAAAGGTAATCATCATACCACAAAGACAAAGTAACATACATTTAACTTAAAGATGTTTAGATTTCAATATTACTTTAAAGAATTCATATTGTTTGTGTTTGCAAAATAAACTCATTACAGTTTCTTTCCAGGCATTAGTATTGTTATTCTTTCTTGGATAAAGCAGCCTGATAACTTCATCAAAGTTGTAAATACTGCAGATCAAAAGAATTTAACACTGTCTCAATATTCATAATAAAAGAAAGATAAAAATGCATGGTAAAGTCAAATTTGAAATTTTTATTATCTGTTTAGTGCTTAGAGGATGACAATGAATATCTGTGTTGGTATGTAGACTTTTCTTGTCTACTCATTTGTTTAAGTGAAATAATAAATTTAGCTGAAAGGAAGAGAGCACATATGAGGGGGGATAATCAAATAGTAATAGTCGTAAATAAAACAGGTATCATTTTAGCAGATTACTGGCTACTAAAAAGGGAAGTTCTAATGGAAATACAGGTGCTGACTGAATGCTGGTGTGGCTTTGGTTAAAATTATTTTTAGTGGATTAAAAGGAAGACCTTTACCTAACATTTTCTTTCCCCCACTATATTTCCACTTAGAAACTATTTCAAGGAGCAGACTAGTAAAATTAAAGCTATATTCTTTTTTTAAAATATATATATATATATTTTATTGGTTGTTTTTTTTACAGAGAAGAAGAGAGAGGGATAGAGAGCTAGAAATGTCGATGAAAGAGAAACATCGACCAGATGCCTCTTGCACACCCCCTACCGGGTATGTGCCCGTAACCAATGTACATGCCCTTGACCGGAATCGAACCTGGGACTTTTCAGTCCACAGACCGACATTCTATCACTGAGCCAAACCGGTTTCGGCTAAAGCTATAGTCTTTAAGCAAGAAGTCTTCCAATGAGTTCCACTCCATAGGCACACTGACCTGCTGAACAGGGACAGAGAGTGGCTGAATCACAGCTGTGGTCACTCCTGTCTTTGGAGATGAGGATCCTATTGTCAGGGAAACGGACGTTGTTTTCTTCTGAGCCCTGGAAAATAGGGAGGCAAGTGTTCTGTTAGAATTCTTGTAAAAAGTAGGCATTACTCTTTAAAACATTTCCACAGAATAGCCCAGTTTCTTTTTGTGTACTTAATCCACTTCAACTGTTATGTGCTTCAGAAATGGGAAGGGCTACAATAGCCAGTATATGCAGAGAATAAACCTTATAGATATTAGCAAAATAAACACACGGATAGAAGAAGAGTAGCTGTATGTAACACAGCCATTATCAGTGAACCTAAGGTGTTGAACTTGAGAATCTGCAAAGATAATGCTCAGAAAAAGTCTAATCTTCAGGAGTAGGAAGATATTTGAAATTTTTAGGATTAAGGTTCTATATTTAATCCAAAGTATGGTTGTCTTTTTTTAAAGTCTAGCAGCTGTTCTTTGTTCTGGTTCTAATTTTGTGAAGTTGAGAGTGTCTTGAAATTTTTGTCTTTTCTTAATGCATGGAAGTTAGTGAGATGTAGACAAAGGTTAAGAAGAATTGGGTTCTAGACCAAGTTTTGTTAGGTTGTTGGCTGTGGAGTTCCAAGCAAGCCCTGTAACTTCACTCAACTTGATTCTTCTCTGAAATGAGAGGTGATAGAATGCATAAAGGATCTTATTAAGACCCATTCAGCATTAGTATTTGGTGACGATTTGACATCGAGTGGATATAATTGTTATGTATATACCAGCAGATCAAAAGAATTTGACAATGTCTGCATATTCAGAGTTTTCTACAAAACTGTTGAAGATTTTGATTTTTTGAGAAATAATTAAGATACCAACATTTTACTAAGAATCCATGTCTTTGTAGGATGAAGTAAATAAATTTTAAGATTTTCATGACACAATCTAGCTAGAAATAGATTTCATTTAAATGGAAACACATTGCTGGCCTAATGAAATATTTTCCAATTTATATAAATACATTGATCCTCATTTATTTTTAATAGTGATTTAATACATTTTCTCTCAACATGTCTGCTCTTGCCATAAATTTATAACTGGCTAGTTGTCTTTGAAACTAACATTATCTATGGTTAGATTTTTTGCATATCAATAATGAAATGCAGATTTTCAAATTCAAATTCCTAAGTTAAAAATGACATTCCAAGTTCAAGTATTTGATCTTTGATTGACATCAGTTGACCTTTTTCTGAAAAAACACTGGTGGCTTCCTACCCCAATTCTGCTACTGTTCTTTGCTATATAATTGAATAAATTGTAAGCACTTACTGTGGCATTGCTCCAGGTTTCGATATGAAAGCTAAACTTTCACTGTCAGAATCTGTTGAACTGGTACCTAGGAGAGTTACAAATAATAATAAAGTGAGATGCAAGAAGTATCTATAATTGCTTCAAAGGGTACTGTTCTTTATTTTTAAACAATATCATAGTCTTATTTTGAAATAGAAAATGATTCATACCATTTTTACTTGGATTGCATATTCAGAAAATCATTTTTTTTAAAAAGAACTATGAAAAGCTTTCTTCAAAGCAACATGTTTTTAATGCCATATTTATTATTAATTTAATTTTTATCTCTTTGGCCATCACAACCATACTTTTAAATGGCTTATAAACTATGAAATAAATTTTAGTGTAACTGTGAGCTCAAGAGTCATGGTTTTAAACTTTAACCCTCTCCCAAGAGATTTCATGGCATGAATTATTAACGTCTTCCTCACTCATTAATTAGGAAATGCTTTCTGACTCTTAAACTGGAGTGCGATAGTGGCTTCATTCTTGAAATAAAAGGGTCTGTGACTCTGGATCATACCTTCCCAAATTCATTTGTGTCGTTACTGTTTTTGAGTAAAGGGTCTGATTTTTAGTCCAAATGCATACAGTTTCATGCACATATTTTGTGACAAGAGATTTTAGGTGACATTTTAAATAACTGTGATAGTTCAGAAGTATATTCTTGACTATTTCCTTTATATAGCCCGAGTCATTTAAATTATTTATTTTAAACTATTTTAATGTAAAGTAATACATGCTTACAGAAAATTAACCAAATATAACAGAATTGTGTGCTATTGTAGTAAAAACCTGTTGGTACCTTCCCTAATACCATTCTGTATGTGTTAAGAGTCTGGTGTGTGCTTTTCAGATAAATTTAATGTGTCAACACACATATATTTACATACATATTTATATAAATGGAATCATACTATATGTACTCTTTGAAATTGGTTATATTTGCCTATCAATACATTCAGAACAGATACATTTACTTACTTCTCTTGGATGGCAGCCTAAAACATTACTTCCCTTGTCTAAGGTGTGTTTTCCAGCCTTTGATTGATGTTGAAACAATGACGTTTAGGTAACTCTGCTGGAATGTTTGCTGTCCCTATTTATTTTTATAACAATCACCTAGCAGAGGCTTTCTTCACCTAGTCCCTGGGCTACTGCAATAGTCTTATCTGGTTCCCCATCTCTCTTCCTCTCAAATCTGTCTTCAACCTGTATGAGATTAGTGTTCCTATCCTCCAGAACTTCCTGGACTTCCACATCACAGAATCCTGATCCAGAGAATTGACCATGATCCCTAGTGTCTATCCCATTAGGTAATGGGAAAACCACAGTCAACACACACACACACACACACACACACACACACACACACACCTGCCTTTGAAGAGATTCAATTCTTTTGAGACATACACAATGGACAAGGTAAATAAATGCATGGTGTGGTGGTGAGTGATATAAGAAACATGTTCAGGGTGAGGCGTTGGGAGCAACAGGAATGCAGAGTGGCGAGGACAGTGCCACCGAGCTAGGAGCTTTAGATGAACATCCAGTGTAGGTAAAGACTTTCTCTTCTTGGCCTTTTCGCATGACTGACCCTTTAGTTATATTACTCATTCCTATAGGAAACTCCTACCCAGTCATTTCTGGATAGTCTAGCTTCTAAGATCAGCCTACTCATTTTTCTGTGCTCTGTCTTCTCTGGACTCCTAGTGTTCTTGTTTACATTACTCTCACCACTTATTACATCGCATCTGCTAGAACGTTTTAAGTTCTTTGGGAAATGAAGTGGTGTTTGGAAGGGAACTACCAATTCTTCAGTACTTACTATTTGCCTGGCTGTCGGCTAGACACCTCATAGCATTTAATTATTATAATAATGAACTTCACTATGAGGAGTGAGATTACAGATTACAGATAAGAAAACCGAGGAACCAGGGGCTTAGGTAAATTGCATTGGGTCACATAACTAGGAAGCAGTGGTGGCAGGGCCCATTCCATCTGATCTCCATGGGCATGTCTGCATTCCTTGGAAGGCTCAGCTTCCTGTCTTGCTCATGGCAGGCCTTTAACTTCTGATGGAATGAATGGAATTAAGGAACTGCAAGGTTTGTGCAGGGAGAGGCAGTAGACTTTGCAACCAGAGAAGAGCGGCATCTTGAGGTGGTGGGAGGCAAGTCATGAAACGCAGGGTGGAATACCAGGGCCAAAGTGTTTGGACGTACGTCTAGGTGGTGAGTGGGAACATTAACTGTGCAGGATGAACTGAGGGAGAAGGGAAGAGGGGAGGAAGCAGAGCAAAGCAAACAGCAAACCATGTAAGTAGGTGATAAACAAAGAGGAAGTTTGAGGAGGAGATACCAGTAGAAGGTGAGCAGGGAAACTGAGGGGAAAAAACCAGTAGGCTTGGTTGTCAGAAAGTCAGGGGAACCTGACAGAAATCAACTGTGCTGGGGTCATGAGAGCGTTCAGAGAGGCAGGCAAAAGCCCAACGGGAGCTATCACAGACACTCTACGTGTCCTGAAACTGGGGAGAGAAATGGCTATTTCTCATAAAATTCTGAATATTTATATCTTTTTTTTAAAAGCCCATCTGATTACCTCTATTTAGAAAGATATTCTCATTCTTTTTTTTTTTTTTTTTAACTACCTTTTTCTAGCTGATTTTCAGAGAAACATAAAGGACCAAAAAAGATAGTGTCCCCTGGTAATACATTCACTGGTTTTCGCACACCTGTCCAACCCTTGTGAAATCTCAATGTCACCTTCTGTCTCAGGTGTCAGAGCAGCTCTTGCAGATGGTAGCAGATCAGATCTCCCCATCTGTGCCAGCCGCTCCCTCCCCTTTCCTCTCCTTCCCGCAGGGCACCTTCCCTCCTGCTCCTCTCCTGTCTCCTCCTGAGTCATCTGCTTTGCACCTGCCAGTCAGGAAACACCACTCCTGTCTCAGGTTAATGTTTTTCTGCATATTTATCAAACCACCACGCTCAGTGTTTTCTGCAGGCTCCAATCTGAAGGAGGCGCACGTTCTAGCCCTCCACATTACTATCTATCTGCTTAAAAGCTGTTTCTGCATTGCCTCCCACACAGAGCAAAGGAATCAAACACTGTGTTCTCCACCCCACTCCAGGGATAAAGGGCGGTGGAAGTGTCACCAAAAATGAGCTTCCTCCTTTCACTTTAAAAGGTGTTACCTTTCCACCCTGCCAGCATAGCTTAAGGGTTGAGCACTGACCTATGAACCAGGAGAAGGTTCATAGGTCAGGGCACATGCCTGGGTTATAGGAGGCAGCCACAGATCAATGATTCTCTCTCATCATTGATGTTCTCTCTCTCTCTCTCTCCAACCCTTGACCTTCCTTCCTGAAATCAATAAATATTAAGAAAGGTATTACCTTTTCATTTTTAAAACTTCAGCAATTTAATACTTTCTTGTAGGAAAAAAGCCCATAAAATGTACAATAGTGAAAATTAAAGAAAAAAATCATTTGAAATACCACTAACCAGATATGTTGGACCACATCCTTCTAAAGTTTATGTCTATGGACATAGAAAAATAATTAAATATATTTTTAAAAGATGACAATACTATTATACTGCTCAATTACTGTTTTTCCCACATTTAATACATGTCAATGAATAAATATGTACCTTTGTAACTTTCTAGTGGCTGCTTCAAACTCATTTGTGTGGATTCACCATAATTTTATTATTCCATTATTAATGGATATATGCATTATTTCCATTTTTAAACATTTCACCAGAAAGGTGTATACAATTGCAATATAACAAAATGCCCATATTCATGAAATTACTATTTTTATATTTTTGTCAATCTGGTATATTCCATGATTTTTAAAAAATGTTTACTTCTGAGTGAAAACAAATTAGATTGAAATCACATAGCTTCAGGAAATAAGCAGTCTTCTTAAAAGCAGATATCAACCATTAAAAATATATCTATACACACATACACATATATGCGTGTATTTTTTAAAAATCCTAAATTTAGTGAATCTCATCATGAAGTTCATCCTTTTGTACATGTTTTGCCTTTCAAAATTTAAGGACTAACTATACTCTGGCCCCATTACTCATTTTTCTCCTCCCTTCTTTCTCAGTTACTATAATTACCAGCACAGCAATAATCACTCAACAAGTTCAAAAAATCTGAGTGTAAATTCTGTTGCCACTGCTTTCTATTTTATAATCTCATGCAAATTATTTAACCTCTTAGTTACTCAATATTTTAAATAAAAATAGGTTAAATTTTTAAAACCAGGTACAAAAGAGTATACAGTAAAATATACAAATATAGAACATAGGATAGTGAGATTCTATGTGATTTTTATTTCTCTTGGTTTATGCATATGTTTTAGATTTTTAAAAATGAAAATGTGGGTTTTTGGTTTTCTTTTGGTAATAATAATGATAGCTCACACTATGTGCCAGGCACAGCTCTAGGCAATTAACTCATTCAATCCTTACAACAATCTAATTTTCTCTATCCACAGACAGAGAAATTGAATTCAGAGTCAGTGGGTGATTGTTCAAGGTCATGGTGGCAAGGAACTAAGCTAGTCAGAAAACATTGTGAAAGAAGGGCCAAACTGGGCTTAGACTCCTTCAGCTTCTCTGAACACTTTTCCAAAAGCCAGCAGAGGAATCCTTATGTTCAATGAGGCTTTTTCTTGCTGGGGATCAACAGGAGCCATTACTCATAAAACATTTTAGGATGCGTCAAAATGTCACTTAAAAGGGGCACATGTTTTATTTGACCATTCAAAAAAAAAATTGAGAACTTAGAAAAAAATATCAACTAGAATCTGTCAATATGCACCAAGCATGAATATTACTACCCTCTCCCTACCTTTTAAAAATGTATCTTATTTTATTTTTCCCATCACTATCCCCTCTATGCCCTATACCCCCTTGGTCCCCCCACCCCACACAATCACCGTACTGTTGTCCATTCCATGAGTTCTCCTTTTCTTTCTTTTTTGCTCAATTCCCCCTCTCCCCCTAACTCCCCCTCCCCACCTGAGC